GCATTTAATGTTGACAATGTTGAGTACACTTTCTAATATCTAACACCATGTTAAACATGATGACTAATTAATTCACTTTATATTTGATTTATTTTTTTTCTTGTATTAATGATTATTTTTATTGTTCTTCCTATACAAATAACTTCTTATCAAATTGATGCATTGGAGATACAAGTTTGATTCGAATTTCTACTCTTTTAACATTATTCCTACATGGATTAACTTACAATCATTGATTGACATGTGTTCAAAATCATTGGCTTTCAAAGCCATAGCATTGGAGATGCTCTAATAGTTTCTCATAAAATGACTCTAATACACTTGGTGAAGTCATAATTTTGGATGTTTTTAAGCTTTTGGATTATTTGATGTAATGGTTGAGATTTATTTTTGTTTCTTCCCTAGGGTACCATTCTCACTGGAACCCAACCTCAATTTTATAAAGTTATAAATTGTAATATTTATATATTAAATAGTCAAAACATGCACAAATAAATTAAAAAAGATTTTCAAACAAAATTTTTATTATTACTGACTTGATATATTGAGTCGGATATAATTACCATGTTGTCTAAAATAAATTAACAATATTTGAATAATAAAATATTAATTTATAGTATACCCCGTGCATCGCACGGGTATCAACACTTGTTACACAATATTGCCAAACATGAAGCACATTAATGAAAGACAAATTGCACAATATTGTCAGATCAAATGCACATGAAAAAAACGACTAACTTATATGTATCTTAATTATTTTAAACAAGCGATAGTATAAAAAATATTAAATAAAAATTATAAATGATAATTATGTTTTTAATATATAAATAATTTATTATTTGCTTAATCATGTTCATTGAAAGTACGCATTATTACTTATTTATAAAAATTGTAACGCATTAAAAAAAATGCACGCACAATATGATGCACAATAATATTAGACTAAATGTACATTATTTTAAGTATGAATGCACAACATCAGATTCAAGATTTCATATATTATGTTTTTCAACCAAAAACTAATATAAACTTATTAAAATAAATTATTAAAATATTAAATATAATATTAACCGGTAAAATACACCACATATTTAGTATTAGTTTTAATTCACGTTGCACAAAAGCAACAGAGAAAGTGCACAATCATGTTAGATGAGTTGCATATTAATGTATATAAGACTGCACACTAGTGATCGAGAATGACCGAACTAAGATTAACTCGATTCAAATTTTTTTATATTTCAATTTAATTATCGATTTTTGTACTTTTAAAAATTTAAATATTTTTATTATATGTCAAAATTATTATTTAAAACGACGGAAACAACAAAATCAGTCGAGTGATAAGCATTGAAAAAATATACAATTTACTTAAGTTACGATGTAATTTTTATTGTGCATTTTAACATACAATAATGTGATTTTTTTGGTATTATAATGTGCACTTATAACACTTTTAATAAATTACAAGAATGCCATACATATTAAAATATAACAAAAAAGGAGATTTAAGATATAAAAATAGTAAATGATAAAATACTAATCATATTTTAATTAATTACATATTCGACCCTTGAACACAATTGTAATTTATCAAACTTTATAAAATTGCTATCGAATCCTTCTACCCTATCAAATTCTAAAAAAAA